CGGGGTTCTTACCGCCCGGCTGAACCGAGTCCCCGTGATTAAAGAGCCGAGATCCTCAAAATTTTTCTGAACATGTTGCTATTACTGTCCAGGGAACATAATTCTATTTTTTTTTCTTTTTGGGAGAAAGGTTTTTGCTATAGGGCGCGTGCACTCAACAGAAAGACAGAGAGAGAGACAGCAAGAGAGAAATCGCCCCCCCAGGCGGGATAGCCACGCCACAATCCCTTCTCCTCCATTCTCCTCTTGGGATCTTGGGCATGCACACACACGCGCCCGGCATGAGTTTAAGCCACTGGGTCCAGGACTGGAACCACAGTTGACTACATGGGAGTCCAGTAATGTAGCCATTACACCACCTGCTAGCCCTCATAGTTCTAATTTTAATTATTACTTTAACATTTGGGCTTTAAATTGTCTTTGCTCCTATATTCCTGATGCCAGTGAGGCCTGAAGAGTCACAGCTTATAATAAAAGTAAGAGTCTCCACGGTCACATGGCTCCCTGCAGGTGATTTCGCAAAGGCTTGTCTCTGGGCTAGTTCAGGTGGGAATGGGGTCCCCCCCCCCGGTCGACTCCAGACAGGCCGCTCTTAGGGCTAAGATGCTGAGATTTCTCCAGCGGGTGGGCCAGTCCATCTGATCACTGAAGCGATGCTGGGAGTTGGTATTCTGGAGCTGGCAGGCTCTGCTATCATTGGCATCCCAGACAAGATAACGAATGAACTAGAAAGAGAGGAGACGAAATGGACCTCCACCGTGTGATGGACAGCTTGCCGGTGCTGCGCCCCTCCTTCCTCCCCGTAGTGGCTTTGCGGTCCCCACGCCCCCCCAGCCACAACCTCGTCCCTGCAGATTGGGTTCTCTGAGCCTTGAGACCCAGCAGAAACTGTCCCCAGGCACAAGAATCCTCAGTGAAAGGCAAAAGATGTATATGATCTGAGAGAAACCACAAGGTTGCCTGCGGTTCAAGTCCTGGATCCGGTGGTTTGCTTTCTCATTCTCTCTTTCTTTCTCTGGTGAGCACACGTGTCCCATGGCAAACTAAAAAATTGTAATACATTTTTTAAAAAAATAATCGTCAATGATTCTGGACACACTCTCAGACCCCAGGGCATCTCTGTCCACCAAAGTCTAGCAAACCGAGATGGGCGATTTATGCCGTAAGAAAAGGTACTCTTGGCTTCAGTATTAATAACACTAGCCCCAGGATCTGAGCCGTGAGAGGCATTCATTCCTAGGGAAGCTCTCGCATGTGTGAGGTGGGCATGCGTGACAACTCAGTGGCTGTAGTGTCTGTCACATGGCTGTCTTTCATGGCTTGTCACATCAAGTGTCCCTGGGAAATGCACCCGCCACAGAAAGAACTGTGCCAGCCAGCCTGCCTCGCCATGCACCTGCTGTGTTTGCTGCTAACGTGGCTCTTGATCATATTTAATAGGAAAACCAAGTTGGGGGACTAGAAAAAGCCAAGTGGGAAAAATTCACATTTTGGAGCAAAATAAATTGGCTTGAAACTCATTCTGGGTGTGTGTGTGTGTGTGTGTGTGTGTGTGTATGCCCAAAATCCTTAGAGGAAAATGGAGGAGAAGAGATTGCAGCATGGCCATTCCCCGTAGGTGATGAAGATGATTTCTGGCTTTCTGTCTCTCTGTCTCTCTGTGACTCTCCGGTGAGTACACGTGCCCTACAGTAAAAAAAAAACTCTCTTTCAAAAAAAAAAAAAAAAAGGGAAAGAAAAGTAAAAGAAAAAAAAATTAGGGGAAAGTAAGAGGCAGGAGAGGGCGAGGCTGGGGACAAAGGCTGGTGAGCCTGGGCACCCGCGCCTTCCCCAGCTGCTATGCAGTGAGACAGACACAGACATTTCCTCTGGCATGCAGATGGAGCAGGACATCCACAGCCACACAGGTGGCCTCGGGCAGGTGACAAGTGGAAGGGAATAAAACTACAGGGGAAACATCCCCCAGGCTTCTCCCTTACCTTCGGGCCAAGCCACTTTGAGCTCCAATCTTGTTGCCATTTTTCC